AATTAAAAGTAACAGTATTGTAGAAATTCATTTCACCGAAACAATAACGTGGCGCACACTGTGACGTCGAAAAAGGCGCACACCTTTGACGCTGCGTTTTCTCGTCCACAGTAAATGCAAAAACGGAGTTTTAGAAAATATCCACCCTGGCCAGAGTTTTTAGAAATCTCCGTTTTCAGTGACCGAAAACGCCGTTTACGTGTGGACAAAAGGTGCAAACGCATAGAAAAATCTGCGTTTTCAAAAATACCCGAGTACGTGTGGACGTAGCCTGGTTTGGCTGGTGACAGCCCTGTTCTGGACTTTTCCACTACACTTATATTTTCCTATATGACTAGCTGAAGCAGAGCTGATGGAAAGACCAGCTCCATCCACATCTAAAGACACAGTACCATCAGCGTGGACCTGCGTCCCATCTCTCTACCATGTATATATCCAGTTACAGGCGCCCTGCCCCATCCCACACTTGAACTTCACACTCTCGGTGGGGAACACATGACGAAAGCAGACGCATTAACCATTTAACATAACATGCTTTTACAGTTGCAGCTAGCAATGATTTCTATTATTTAGTGTGTAAAACAGGATGTGTCCTTTTACACAAATGATCTTTCCCTGACAGCTCCACCTATGTTCTAACACCCTGACGGCTTTTGAGGCATCCCTCTGTGCTTTATGCTACACCACAACATCCTGTTTCGACAGACGATGCAGAAAATAACGGAAGGAAGATGCTCTCAAAATGCTGTTTCACGGAGTATAAAGAAGTTTTGAGGTTTTAATAACAGTATGGACAACGCAAAATATGACCTGCTTATAACACAAGATCAGCAACCCAACTGTTTATTTACAACAATAATTTTACTTGTTTTCACCTATTGTCGTGGTGAGGTTTGAGAAAACTGATAAGAATCTCATGTTTGTCAGTGAGGTATATATGAAGCACCGCAAAGGGCCAAAACAGACTGCTTGGCTCTGTCCACAGTGACAGAATCACCCTATCAGTCTGTCATACTCTTATCACTTTGTTATTTCTTAAACTGTTAATGCAAGTTAAAGTAATACCATGCACATGCAAGTAAACTCACCCCTAACTTGGATCATAACCTCGTTGCTGAATCCAGAGTTCACTCCCCTAGATGTAAGGTGAGCTTTGCAGGAATATGATCCTTTATGTATCTGACGGACCGAGGTGATTTTTAATGATGATCCGTCTCCATTAATGATCTCAACTGAGTTATTTTGGAGCTGCTGATTATTTCTGTGCCATGTAAACGTCCAGCCAGGGCTGCTGCCGACAACGTGACAGTGAAATTCCACCGCCTCATCTTCAAACACATTTTCCCAGGCAGTCTGAAGCTGCAGAGCTGGTGTTGGTGGGTCTGTAACACAGAAAAAGTCAAAAGAGAACTTTAAAAATAATAAATTAACTGCAGGTTAAAAGAGTATCAGTAAGAAAACCAAATTGCTATGTACATCATCCGAGTACTATACATGCATCCAAAGGTTACACACAGCCTCATGTAAATAAACATGAATGATGTAGTTTATGTGGCGCAGTGGATACTTACCAGTAACGTTAAGAGTTGTGCTCTCACTTTGGTCTGTAAGAAACTGATCTCTTTTGCCTTTGCAATAATACTGTCCACTGTTTTGAGTCGTTACAGAATTTATGGTATACGACTTAGTATTAACTCCTGAAATCTGGTTTTCATCATTGTACCACAGGTACTCCCATCCAGACGACACATCAACGTTGCAGTTGAAAGTGATGGCTTCACCGGGGAACATCTCGCCAAAGTCTGAATCTCGTGTAAGTGTGGGCTTGGGTGTGCTTGCTGCTCAGGACACAGAAAGACAAGGGTATGCTTCAGCAGTCTACACTCTCTCTATAAATACCGCACAAATATTGCAACGAACCTTACCATAAACTTTAATTTCGACAGGTCCACTTTCCTTAGTTTGACTGGGCTTCTTTTTGCCCTCAACTACACAGGTGTAACTTCCAGAATCTTGTGTTGATGTTGCTGTGATTGTAAGCTTATCTGGGGACGGAGACAAATTTGGATCTAGAGGGCTTCCATTTTTCTTCCATGTGAAGCTCAGCTCCGAGCTGCTAGTGGCTTTACATTCTAGCACTACTTTCTCAGAAGAGAAGACGTCTGACCAGGAGGAAGTTCGCTCCAGATCTGGTACCGGAGGCACTGAAAATTAAAAAAGTGAAAGAATGGGAATGAATGAGGGTTTACACTCCTAAAAGAAAAACAACTGGGAGTATGTTTCGATTCCATTCGTATATCCAGAATCTGAGCAAAACCCATCTAATGATGGCTACTGACTTAATATAAAAATATCAGTAAATCTAAAAAATAAATCACAAACAAAGCATCTGTGAATGTAGAACGCAGTAAAAGTGAAGTAGATGGGAGCACAAAAACACCAGATGCTAATCCTGTCAGGTAAGAACAGGAAACCAAAGTTACCAAAACTTGACAATTAAAGACCGGAAAAAACATTTTGATTGGTTCGATTTCTGTAATGACATAACCTCAGAATTGTTGCGTTGAATGGGGCGTTTTATGGGTCAGTAGGAAGTCTTTAGATACTCTACAGCATCAATCAGACATCACCTAAAAAGCTTACTCAAGTAGCCCATTGTTGCTGGCCCTGCCCATTCCTTTACTGATAAATTGCACCCATCTATTCAACAGGACGGCATGCCAAAGCTCAAACACTCACACTGTATTCTTGAACACAACGAAGCGTTCACTGAATTCAGATCTGACTAGATGTCAGTGAAATACGTCACCTGTCGGATGTGGTTAAATAAAACAAATCCATCATGCAGGTACTGCTGCCCACTAATGTGCAGTCTGTGCATGATGCTCGTGGTGCCAGTTAAAGTAGCTCTAAAGCCAAAAACGAGCCCGACATGTTAGCGGCACAGTGTAAGTGGCGTTTGATGAGTACATATGATCAAAAAAACTGAGGTCATAATCTCACCAAAAGGAGGAGGTGTTGTCGATTCACGTTCTCTAGAACTGTAGGTGGTTGCTGGATGAAGAAGAGAAAAGATGTGGAGAGCAAAGTTTAGACTAAAAAAAACCTCCAAGGTTTGAGTCATTTCCACAATGTAAAGGTGAGACTTCAGAAAAACACTGGTAACAGTTAAATCAGAGCTCCAATCTCAAACTGCAATGCCTAATTCTTTTTTAAGTAGACACGAATGATTGAAATGAAGACATTTTTCACAACTTTTAAGAACTTTTAGTTTGATAAAACAATGACTTAAAAGCACTTATCATGTAGAAAAAGGAGGAAAAATCCTTTGTGTCCTAAAACAATTACACAATACATCCACTCTCAATACTGTCAATGGAAACCTACGGCATGATGCCAGGAGACTATTGAGACTAGGCTGGCGTGAGGTAATACGGACACATGAGTTTAGAAGTTGTGTGTATCTAGTTGTAGGAACTTTCAGACTCATGACAATAAAGTACTTCATGTTCCTCTTGTTAAATTTACCCAAGTTCTACTTCCTAAACATTGCTCTTGCTCGACTCAGACCAGCCCATGTTTAAGAGAAGGTTTATGATCTTAACAGTTAACTTCAGTACTGAATCTGGTGTTTTTGCTCAACATGAAAATGTTTAATTTTTTTTTTTTTTCCCAAAAATCATCTTCAACTTTTAAAACAGTTCAATCTGCTCAAATGTGTCAAAATCTGCTCTCGGTATGAAAGACGGTTTTTCCCTACCATCGTTTTCCTGAGAAGCACAAACAGCAACCATATCTGTCAAAGAACCAAACAATGTTCAGCTGCATTAAGATTTGCATGTAAGTGAAAATATTCTTTATAAACTACAGAATTGAACAGAAACGCTTAAAAACTTACAGATTACACTGAAGACCTTGAACAGCCACATTTTCCATTGAGCTGCACATGAAGCACATGTAGAGACCGGGTGTCTCAGTTGACTCATATATCTGCTTCGCTGTGACATTCAGTAAAGGAAATAGTGCAGTTGCAGTATAAATGGGCGTATGTGACAGCTTCATTTCTGAACTCACCTCAGGACAGCAGCTTTCCTGTCGCTCTCTGACAACTGCCTTTTTTTGTTAAAGCAACAGGAAATGTGTTGGTGAACCACACTCAGATGTTTGTTGCTCAGACAAAGTTGAACTGCTGATTTGTGTGAAATAAAAGGAGGGTTTAGGGAATTGAAAGAACGTGCAAGATGCTAAACTGTTGACAAAGCTCGATATTGTGCTCAATTTGACGATTTTAGACCTAAAGTCGTCGATGACTTAGCCAGTGTATCGTATCTGGGATATTTCATTGTGCAGAAAAAAACTAAACAAAAGAAATAATTTAAAAAAAACTACCAACATCAACAAATGCATTCCTAAAATCAAAGTTATCATTTTACTATGGTGCAGGCCATTTGGAAACTGTAGCTGAGGCGTGATTTGAGGGGATGAACAGAAACTGCAGGATATTTAAATTATACTTTTTTTTTAAACTTATATGAAACTAGCGTCTAACCACAAACTGTGACTTCCTTTTGTCTTCAGCTGAAAGTTGCTCTTGAAAAACAAGAAAGGAAATTTCTTAACAGCTTCATTTTGACTGAAAACACCTTTTAGAGCACACATGTAACTATATTATATGTAATATTCAAAACAGCCTTAACGAGCACATCAGTTTTAAGTAATTATTAAGTGTCGAATGAATCTTTCTCTCTCTGGTGACTTCCTGTAAGGCTGGGTGTTTTGCACCAAGATCACATTTCAGTTCCTGTGTAAGCGAGGACTTCACTCACCCTACTCACCACAAGGTGTCTGTATAACACAGAAAATCCCGTTATGTCACATCAAACTAAAACAAACCTCGGTTCATATCAAACCTGAGAATAACAACCATAACAATCTTTTTTTAAAAACAAAAACATTTGTATATATCAGTCTTTTGATTTATCCAGTTTATTAAAGCCTGATTATAATGATTAGATTTCACCAGGGCATGTATACTCTGTGGCCACTTCATTAGTTACACCGTGCTAGTACAAAGTGCTTGCTCTTTTGTTTGCAGAACATCGTCAGTTCTTCGTGATACAGATGATATAAGATGCTGTGAACATTCCTCAGATGCCACACGTCCACTTGCTTTTATGTTGTTTATGACCCTACCATCTGAACTTATTATTGTAAAGTCTCTACCTATAAAAAGTACCTTGAAGCAACAGTTGTTGTTGCACTATATAAATAAAACTGAACAGAATTTAGTTGGATTGAATTGAATGTGGATGAGAAATTGAGATAAATCACACCTCCCACCATTTTTTGCACTCTTCCAGTGTCAGTTTTGGTGTGTGCATTTGTGTAGCCTCACTGTTCTCTTATTACCCCACATGAGTGGCTTCCAGTCTGGTCTTCTGCTGCTTCTGCATCAACTTGTGCATTCAGAGGAGCTCTTCTACACACCTTGGTTGTAATCAGCGGTTCTTTGAGTTAGTGTTGCCCTGATATCAGCTCAAAGAATTCGGTCGATTCTCCCCCGACTTATGGCATCAATATTTTCTGTTTTTCAGACGATACCATCAAACCCTAGAGATGATTGTGTGGGAAAGTCCCAGAAGACCAGCAGTTTCTGAAATAGCCAGACCAGCCTGTCTGACACCAACAACCATGCCACATTCAAAAAAACTTAATTGAGCTTCATTCTGATGCTGAGTTTGAACTTCTGCTTTGAAGATTAGTCTGTATAATATCTGCTGCCATAATCCACTGAGTTGCAGCCATGTGATGGGCAGTTGAACAGGTGTAGCCAGTGAAGTGGCTACTGAGTGTATATGTTTCTATAATGCTATAAGGGGGGGGGAATGCATGATTTGTCCAAAGTAGTATTTACTGAATCATATGTTTTGGAGTCGTTTTATTTGGTATTGATGCTACTACTACTACTACTACTACTACTAATAATAATAATAACAATAATAATAAACAGGTACTTACAGGTACTGTTATCGGTGGCTTGAACTACATACAACAACCTCTGCTCTGTTTAAAACCACAGTTTAGCGGTTGTTAGTGAGAAGTTGACATCAATCAATCAAAAAGTTAGCAGTGCCATTCGCTTCTGACACCATTAATCGTTCCATACGTCAACAAACATCTTTTTTTAAGTTAGAGAAAGTAAAACTTACGTTGTCGTCAACATAAACGTTACTGTCACAACCAATGATGCATTCACGGGTCGGTTTCACTTCCAGAGCGCACAGTCTCCTTCCTGTCTTCTAAATTGGGATTTTCGTAGTTTTTCTTTTCCCAAACTTTACTACTTCCAACATCGCAAACATCGCAAACATCGTGCAAACAGCGATGAGTAACTGGACTGTCCCTGTTATCAATGTGTAAACAGGCTAAACAAAAGATGCTTCCAGATGTATGTACGGTTTCGCTTTACATTTTCCCCCAACAGGACTTCCGGTGATTCTGGCAAAGACAATAATGGGCAAAGTCGTGGTATTTCCCTTGTTTGTCTTACCTAAAAGGTCTCGCCAATCCTGGAAGCTGTGCTGTGCATCTGGACACTTCTTTTCTTTGTTACCTTCATATTCAGGTCCTGTTCAGGTAAACTGTTTCATTATTAATAAAAGATAATGTACAGTCACTCACTGTTCCTGATGAAACACCAGTGCAGTGTCAATAATATTACTAATATTACTAATATTAATACTAATAACTGTTTGAAAACTGACTCATGAAGTGGTGCTTTTTTTCTTTCTGGGGATTTTCGAGAAAACATTTCAAACTTAAATGTTTTTTTCACAGAGGCAATGGTGGAACTCTTCAAAGAGTGTACAGTTGAATAAGATAGCTCGGCAGATATTATTTCATTTCAACATTTATTGTTTTCTAGAAAACAATAAATGTTGTACAACACTAGCTGCAAAGACAATCTTGTGTTTGGTGGCAGAAGTTGAGGGGCTAACAGAGAGAAACAGACAGTGTTGGGAAGGTTACTTTTAAAATGTATTCCATTACAGA